TCTCATCTCTAGCAGTTAACAACACCGTGATTCCTTTTGAAGCTAGCTGTTTACATATTTCCAATCCAATTCCCTTATTTGCACCAGTAACCACTGCATATCTAAGAAGAAAAGCAAAAATGGTTCAGAGAATTAAAAACAGGACAAGGATTACTGATGCTATGTAATAAAGTGGTGATAAAGAAATCTAAAATCTGGTAAGTTGAGAGCATCCTGCCTACATAAAAAAGTAAGTGCCACTCCACCTAAAATCAATTGATTTCAGGTTGAATGTCCATTCCTAGCGAAGAAAAATTTACTACCTCTTCGTTACTTCTGCCATTGATGAGGAGAAACAGAACGAGCTCTCCTCTGGCCCTCTTCGGACTGGTCCGGACTCTGGAAGTGAGAAATAAGAACCCTCCCCTGTTTTTTGTGGTGTACAGGAATATGCAACTATATCGGGGTTGGATAAACCCACGTTACCAATTTGTATGGGGCAATAGCCAATAGAAGGAACATCAGTTCAATCAGCTCACAGAAAGGGAACCACATAATGATTTCTTCAGTTCATACTTGCTCTTTTAGACTATTTTTTCAATCATTAAACATAACAAGTCACAAATAGTGGTATAAATGTGTTAGTGAGAAACATACACTTATGTCTTAAAATTTGTATTATTTAAGTATGCTGCTTTATTCTATCTGTCTCCTATAGATTTTACCCTTTAAATTAATAGCTAAGAATTAGTCCATTTATCTAAAGTCTAACAGTTTAGATATTCAAATTTTACCAAATGCTACTACTTATTAGAGACCATACTTCAAGCGAAAATTTTCAAAATTTTTTTTATTTTCTTGAAATTAATTACCTCTCAAGATGATGGGTAAACCTAATTTTTCTCATTTTAGTGACATTTAAATGAAAAATGCTTAGAAATAACAAACCAAAAATCTAGTCCTGTGCAAATTGTCCACTGTGCATTAACCATATGATATAATTGACCCGCATAAATTGGGAATTTACAAAACAAACTTTGCAATAGAAAGTTACGCCACAAGATTTCTTACGCGATTTCCTTGTACTGGGACAGGATGAGAGAAAATGAAAGCTGCGTTGCATGTGCGGTGAGTGTTGGGTGTGTTACGGTGCGTCATAAAATAACAATGAGATTGTATTATTTATAGTAGTAGCATCAATTATCTCAGTCGAAACTTGCAGGTTCACTCCGATTGAAGAAAAGGCCAGAAGGACCACCATTTGGCAAGAGTGCTAACTTAATAGGACTTGCGAAGCCTTCTTCAACAGCTAGCTTGCCAGTATTGAAATTTATATCTGTTTTAACAAAGCCAGGGCAAACACAGTTGATGCAGAAACTCGGATACTTCTTGGCCAAAATCCTTGTGTGGGCATTCATGGCTACTTTTGAGACTGTATAGGCAGAGAGGGCGGTTGGCCCACCTTTACTTTCTAGTAAACCCTCCTTAAAATCTTTTAGATATTCAGTGAGTAAGTCGTTCAGCTTCTCTTCAGTGGTAAAACCCGTTAAAACTCCTTTGAGCCGTTCACCGGTCATATGCTGATCAAAAAAGGTGACAAGAAACTTTCGGGTCAATCCTCTGCCGTAGTATCTGAAAGCGAAGAATTATTTCTTTAGAGGGTTTGTTTCTGTAAGGATTCTACCTTTAACATGACCACAGAGGAGGAAATATTTACAAT